TACAATGTTATAAGAAAAAGCCATTAATTAACAGGAAAGGGTGCTTTAAATGTACAGGCTGTGTGACCTGTAGCCATATGCTGTCCAGCAGCTCTTTTGCACATCCTCATTCTGGGAAAAGTATACCAATTAACCACTATATTACGTGTACCACGGACCATGTCATCTATATGGCAACATGTCCCTGCGGACTAGCTTATGTTGGCAAGACAGATCTCACTGTGCGTGATAGTATCAGAGGTCATCGTTCCGGAATTATGACTGCATACCGTGACCAGGCCACTGATAAACCGGTGGTGAAACACTTTTTGGCTATGCAGCATCATTTACCTACATTTAAATTTATTTGTATAGACCATGTCCCGCCGTTGGAACGAGGTGGTGATCGCGCTAAAGTTCTCTTACAACGGGAGGCTTACTGGATACACCATTTAGATACTGTTACTCCAAAAGGTCTAAATGAGAACATTGTATACTCTATGTTTTTGTGAATTTTCCATGCTGGTGTTCGTTTTATTAGTACAGCCGCTCCTTTAAATGGAGTTTCCTTGTTTCTGTATGCGTTATTGAAGCTGACAGAATTATTAGAGTTTTTTTATTTAATTTTGATTTTTTTATTTAAGAGCGTAATCTTATGCAACAGTATTGGTTAATGTCTTTTTGTGACATTGTCCCTGTTCTTATGTTGGTTTTTGATTGTAAATGAATTATGATTTATTTCCGTTGTATTTTTATGCATACAAACTAGGATACTCTTTATTTTGGGATATGCTTCATTTCTTTTATTTTTGACATATTGCGCAAACACGTTTGTATCCAACAGATACTATTGATGGTCTTATATACATTTGTTACCCTGTTGGTTCGATATTTATCAGACCCACCTCAGGACTTAATCTGCAGTGATTCTCACCATTGCTCTATGCAAGTTCCCTTTATATCCATTTCTCCTTTTTGGAGCATTTGCTGTATTAGAGTCTTAGTAATATTTTGGGACGCAAGTTACATGTTTATTATTTAACCATTTAATAGATGGCTGAGATCCATGCTATTCCTCCATTTTTTTGGTAGTGCTCAGCTTGCATTTATGTAACTTAATATATCTGAATGTCACAATGTGTCTATGATCGTTTGTATCTAGTTGATTAGCAACATTACTAGCATTATGTATAAATTTTGTGACCTTGCTATGCGTATAAGTATCAGTGTTTGGATATAGTCTAACACTGTCTTTTCACATGGTTCATCACTTTGCGTGGCATAGATATTCACTGCACAACACGAGCACTGATTTCACTGTTTTCACTTTGTTCTATTTCCCTACACATAACTCTTTAACAATTCTCCTCCATGTTATCTAACTTGCACCCGATCGTTTAGGTATTTGTACTATCCCCATGACAACCACTCTACTCCGGCGTGCGTCTGAATTGTGTGACGTCACGGCCGGTCTTCATTCTCTTCCGGGTAGTAACAGACAGAGACACTCGATTTCACATTCTCACTTGGTAAGTGCTTTATGGTATATTTTGTATATAAACACTGTTATGATTTGTATTTATTGATCTTGAAAAAGACCTGTCAGGGTCGAAACGTCGATTGATTTTTCTGTACATTTCACATGGAATAATTAAAAGTCACTTTTTTTCACTATAATTAAGTCCTGTGAGTGCATCCTTATTTTTGATTTATATACATATATAGGTTCTTTTATAAAATCTTTCCCACCAGTTGTTACATTTCTGGGATTGTTACATTTCTGGATATTCAGTTTTTTTCTTTGTTCTCTTAAGTATATTACTATTTATGTTTTATAAAATCTCTGGCTTTAACCCCTTAAGGACTGAGCCAAATGTACACGTTGTGATCAAAACAAAACGTAAACAAAAACTTGAATTTGCGCTATATGTTTGTTCAGGCGTAACTTGCCTCTTTCATATTATGTGCACCTGCACTTATTATATATCATTTTATTCAGGGGAAACAGGGCTTTTATTTAACATCAAATATTTAGGTATGAAACATAATTTAATATGAATAAAATATAAAAAAATTGGAGAAAATAAGAATTGTAAAAAAAAAATTTCGTTCTATGTAACATTCTAACTGTGAATAAAAAAAAGTTCATATTTGTGTGTTAAAATGCAAAAAACTAATTTGAACGCCAATTTTGGCCAGTGTTTGTGACTAAGTGGCTACTAAAAAATACTGGACATTGCCCATTTGCAATACCTTAGGTTGTCTACTATTGCAAATGGTATGGCATCATGGGGGTAATTCTCATTCCTGGGCTAACATACGGTCTCAAAGACAACGTAAACAATCTGGCAAATTTCAATGTGAAAAAAAACTGAAACGCAAGCCTTATATTTGACTCTGTAACTTTTGAAAACACCATAAAACCTGTACATGAGGGGTACTGTTATACTAGTGAGACTTTGCTGAACACAAATATGAGTGTTTCAAAACATTAAAATGTATCACAACAATTATATCATCAGTGTAAGTACCATTTGTGTGTGAAAAATGCAAAATAAAGTCACTTTCACTGATGATATCATCACTGTAATACATTTTACTATTTTGAAACACCAATATTTGCGTTCAGCGAAGTCTTCAGAGTAAAACAGTACCCCGCATGTACAGGTTTTATGGTGTCTTGGAAAGTTACAGGGTTAAATATAGTGCTAGCAAATTAAATTCCCTGGACTTTTGGCCTGGGTTGTCAGGTAGGTCCCGCAAATTGTAATTAATAAAATGACCGAATTATGGAAAAGTATTACATATATATATACATAGAATTATTATATATATTTTTTTATTATTATTATTTTTATTTATATATAGGTATATATATATATATATATATATATATATATAGTGATATATACGTATATACTTATATACTTACTTATGTATATAAATATATATATTCTTTTGTTCTACGTGTATTTTGATATCAATATATATATATATATAGATAGAACGAAATTACACATATATATGTTTTTTACGTATTTATTTATTTATTTTAGATTATATATAAATATATATATAATTATAATTATATATCTACATATTTAATCAAGATCATTCTACGTGTATTTTGATATTAATAAATGTATCTAATTATATATATATATATTAATAGTAAAACACACTTAGACAGTGTATGTGTATATATATATATATATATATATATATACACTTAGATCATATATATATATATATATATATATATATATATGATATCAGTATATATAATTTTATTTTAATCTTTTTTAAACTTTTATTTTACATTTTACAGGCAGCAGGGGGAGTACCTGTCATTACAGGCACTCCCCCTGCTGGCACTCCTGTGGACGGCTATGCCGTCCATGTGTTCTTGAGGTGCTCGCAAGGAGCTTGTGATCCATGGCCCAGGAGGGCCAGAACAGCAGCAGGGGGACTTCTTGGGATGCCAAGTGAGTCCCCCCACCGCGATCGCCGGCGTCAGATCACCTGCGACTGGGTAAGCACGTAGCACGCCCGCCGTCCTTAAGGGTTTAAAGGGGTGGAGAGACATACGACAGATTTATTGCCTTTTTTACAGAGGGAAAAAATGCCTGGTTTAACATTATCTTCATAGTGTTGAGAACTCAGGAATCCTTAGTAAACTTTAATTAAACCCACCCCCTGTGTTCTTTTAAAGGTTAATAAGTGTGTAAGTTTTTAAAAATATCCCTATCTGTCTAATTAGAGATTTTCCTGCTGAAGATAGCAAGGTGAATTGTTAGTGCCTTGACATGGCAGGTGAACTTACACTTGAATGGCCATTGGAGCGATACTAAAAAAAAACTCCAGTTATTTAAATGTGGAATTTGGGGTAGTGTGCAAGCTACTTTTTTCTGTTTTTTATTGTATGTATTGAGGCTGATAAACTAGAATTACTGGCAACTGATTATGGAATTTAACATTTTAGGTTAAAAAAAAAACAACTAAATTGTAAGAACACTTCAAATCCATTTTATCCAGATTAGCTATTTTGACCTAAAAGTTCAAATAGTTTGGTCGATTCCAGACAATTTAGTGAATTAGTTTGAAAAATATTGTGGATAGTCATGTGGTCTTTGCTTGTAGTATTTTGAAAATTATTCTATTAAACAATAAGATTAAACAAAAAATACCTTAAAAATAAAATTTACGGGGCGTGTCCGACTTCCGGCGAGTGCGGACGCATGGCTTGAGAGCTCCGCCGAAAATCCAGCCTGATAGCGACAACAAAAGCAAAAACTGCAAACTTATCTTCCCACCCGTGCTCCCAAGGGGATACCCCACGACTATGTCACCCCCCAAGCAGCTCAAGATCATGGACGCGGTGAAAACCCGGAAAAAAGACCGGAGGAAAGAAAAACAAGATGGCGGCGATGCACCTGGCTTGTCGGACGACCAGTCAGATGCTGAATCAATCTCCTCCAAAGTATCCGACTCTGCGATTACAGAACGAAGTCTGCATAGAATGCTGCAAGACCTCCGCTCTACCATTAGGAAGGATTTCCTGCAAATCGACAGAGAACTGAGGAAGGAAATTTCAACGCTGGGTGAAAGAACCAACCATTTAGAAAACAAAACCGACGAGCTGTGTGCAGCTCACAACGAAGTTGTAGATAAACTTCAGAAACTCTCAGAAGACAATACTACACTTCAATTAAAATTAGCAGATCTAGAGGATAGATCCAGAAGGCAGAACGTAAGATTCAGGGGTATACCGGATGATATCTCCCACGACTCTCTTCCTGCTTATATACTATCTATCTGCAAAATCTTGGTCCCAGACTTACCTGACTCTGCATGGACCTTTGACCGCATGCACAGACTTCCACGCCCGGCACGTATGGCGCAGGATGTCCCTAAAGACACTATTGTGAAGTTCCATTACTTTGCACACAAGAACACTCTGCTTAACGCAGCAAGGAAGACAGGCACTTTACCTGAACCCTTTAAAAATATATTTTTATTTGCTGACCTATCAGCTTCCACTATGGCACGCCGAAAAGAATTCATAACAATCACTAAAACCCTACGCAACAATAACATCTCCTACAAGTGGGGTTACCCAACGAAACTTCTGGTATGGAGACAAGGCAGAACACTGGTTATAACCGAACCAGCCGAAGGCATGAAGATAATCACCTCCTGGGGTCTTTGGAATGCAACCACCACAGCTCCACACGCTGCACAAGCAACAGACCTTTCCCCGAAGAAACTTCAGGCGGATTGGAACATGACGGGATCGTCAACTACAAAACCATGAACTGCCTCTGTCTCAACGCACTAGTGAAGCGATGAGTATAACCTATACTGTGTTATGTTGACAAGTTTTTAAGTTAATTATTCTCTTTATATTTTTTTCTTTTTTCTTATTATGCAACATGTTATTCAAGTTTGCACTGAAATTCAGCACAATTGACTCTAAGAATTAGCTAGGTTATATGCCTTAACTCTTTTCTTTATAATATATGCTTAATAAGTAGATACTATGGAAATGTGGTAATGAATAACTGTACATGCCCGATTCGTAGAGCTCATTGTAACATGGGGCCTCTATCAGCCTGGTTTCCCGCGACGGTCGCTATTGGCAACTTACTACAGATTCTGATTTTATCTGTACCCAACTGCGGGTGATAAATTTAAACACCGTATTCTTGCACTTGGATTGATGCCCACAAAATGGTAGATTAAAACCACTGAACCTAATACGCGCAGCACTATTAGTGCAAACTACCGCTTATCTGTTCACGTGCAATTAGACCCACTTAAAACGGCACAATAATATACTACCAGTCCCAACTTACTTGACTGAGGAGATGAGCGCACGCGCTTGCATCACCCACAAATTTGTTAAATACAGTATCTCTTTTTAGCTTACTCTAAAATCCTTCCTGGGATGTATTTTCATCTAGGGCTTTAAAATTGAGATAAGCGATGCAGTTGCATCTGTTGTATCACAAGTACACGTTCCCATATACCAGCTTTCACACGTGCATATGCTATAAATGTACATAGTGTTGGGCACCGTATGCAGGTTAGAAACATCTACCTATCATACACCAGTATACGGTGTGACCCGTCTTAATTTACATTTCTACATTTTTATTTTGTATTATACACTTTATATTTTGCTAGTCCTGTTTCATGATCTACAAGTTAGAGGCTGGGACCCGCATTCAATGGGAGAGGAAGGACATCACAAACGATTGAGCCTGCCCCTCATATCATAAGAACAAGACACCTAAGCACAACCTCTAATGCCACACAATCAATCAATGGCTAATACGATGAAAATTTTCTCTCTCAATGTCAAAGGCCTCAACAGCCCGTACAAAAGAAGACAAACTCTAAAAGATATGCACAAATCCAATGCCGCTATAGTATGCCTCCAGGAAACTCATTTTTGTAAAAAGAACCCTCCTAATCTACGATCCTCCAAATACCCCTTAGCTTATCATGCTTATGCGCCAAACAAATCCAAAGGTGTAGCCATCCTACTACATGCAGACTGGGTATTCACCCCTACCAAACAACATGTTGACCCAAATGGGAGATTACTAATCATAGTGGGAGACCTCAACGGGATTCAAGTGACGATAGCATCATTATATGCACCAAATGAGGCTCAATTCTCCTTTCTCAACAAAGCCATAAAAAAATCTCCTCACTAAAACAAGGACATGTTATAATTTGCGGTGACTGCAACTGTACACTAGACCCTACATTAGATGTTCAACGCGCCAACGATAAAAAGCCTAACAAACTAACCATCCACAACAGCAAATCATTCTCCAATCTCATTTTTTCGCATGATCTCTATGATACATGGAGAAACCTATTCCCAGCTGCTAAGGACTTCACTTACTTCTCCCCGGTCCACTTAACATATACACGAATAGATATCTGCTTGATAGATAAATCCACATTGCCTCATCTTTTAGATCAAATGATAGGGACCAGAACATGGTCAGATCATGCCCCAATAACTATCACAATAGCAGTGCCTTACCCAACGAGAGGCCGAGGCAAATGGAGATTAAACGAATCCATTCTTGACACACCTTCAAATTTAGAGAAGACTGCCCGCGAACTGCAAAACTATTTCGAAATCAACACAACGAATGATACATCAATAGAAAACCAATGGCTCGCTCATAAAGCGGTGATCAGAGGTGAATTTATCAAAATAGGATCAATTAACAAGAAGAAATCTCATAACCTACAACGAAAGTTGCTTCAGAAACTCACGAAGCTGGAAAACGTCAACAAATTAACCCCTTCCCGTACCATGACGAAACAAATAACGGAAACGCGTGACGAGATACTAAAAATTAAAGTCAAAGAATTCACCACTAACGCAGCTAGACTTCAACGTCACTATTATGGCATGGGCAATAAGGCCGGAAAATTGCTAGCAAACCAACTGAAATCCAAATATCTTCAAACGAAAATCCCATACATTCTCTCAAAAACACAGATAAAAATATACAATCCTACCGACATAGTGAATGAACTAGCATCTTTCTATGAGGAACTATACAACCTAAACGCAAACGAGAACACGCACACTCCAGACAAAACAGACATTCTAACTTACCTAGAAAAAATACAACTGCCAAAAATCTCACAACAACAAAATAACACACTCACTGCCCCGTTCACGGAATCAGAAGTAGCTGCGGCTATTAAATCTCTCCCCAGGCACAAAGCCCCAGGCCCAGATGGTCTCCCGAATTACTATTATCTCAAATTAGAACCATACCTTTCCCCGCACATAACCAAACTTTTTAATAAAATAAAAGAAACTGGCCACTTCCCTAGAACTATGCTGGAAGCGTACATCATTACCCTACCCAAGCCAAATAAACCACCCACTACCTGTGGCAATCTAAGACCAATTTCGCTATTAAATGCCGATGTGAAGCTCTATGCCAAACTTATAGCCACAAGATTGAAACCCTTGCTGTCTACCTTGGTCTCGGAAGAACAAGCAGGCTTCGTGCCTGGCAAGCAAGTGGGAGACAACACCAGATTTTGCATGGACCTCATCGACTGGGCAACTCGCCAACGTATGTCCGGGGTCTTAATGGCCTTGGACGCAGAAAAGGCTTTTGATCGCCTAAATTGGACGTACATGGAAACTGTCCTACAAGCTTATGGATTCTCGGAATCCTTCGTCACAAGCATTCTGGCCCTTTACTCCGCGCCATCGGCGAAAGTACTGAACTCAGGATTCCTATCTAAAAGCTTTGACATCTCCAATGGAACAAGACAAGGGTGTCCCCTATCCCCTCTCATATTTATCTTATGTTTAGAGCCTCTCATTCGAACAATCAAACAAGACCCCTTATTGCCAGGCTTTACCACACCAGCAGGGGAAAAGAAGCTCGCTTTATTTGCAGACGATGTTATCCTTTTTTTAGCAAATCCTAGATGTGCCATTCCCCATCTCATGAACACTCTTGCCTCATATGGTAACTTGTCATTTTATAAAAATAACATCAGCAAAACACAAATACTCCCTCTGAACCTCGAACCCCAGGTCACAACCGATTTGAAATTACAATTCCCCTTTGATTGGCGCAAGACTTCCGTTACATATTTAGGCATCAAACTTACGCTATCACACTCTCAAACTATAAAAGAAAATCATGAGGCAGTCCTACTGAAAATATCCAACCAATTGAAATCCTGGGATAATTTGAACACTTCTTGGATAGGAAGAGTGAATTCGGTTAAAATGATGGCGCTCCCTCATATTCTATATCTTTTTAGAACACTGCCCATTACTCTTCCCAAATCAATTCTCACGAAATTCCAATCAACTATCAACGCGCACATTTGGAAAAGAAAACCTCCGAGAGTCGCTACTCACTCCCTATGGAACCCCATCCATCAGGGTGGCCTGAGCGTTCCCAATATCACAAACTACTACAAAGCATCCACGCTAGCACAGAGCCTGGACATTATGTCAGAGAAAACCAGCCCAATTTGGCTTAAACTTGAACAAGCATGTAGCCAACTCCACTCCCTATCTGACACTATGTGGGCTACAAAAAAGAAATGCCCTACCCACCCACCATTGCCATGCACAAAATTTCTTCTGAACTCTTGGAAAGCATGGAGCTCGAACCTCTGTTCCAATCAAGAATTTCTCTATTTGGCACCATTACGAGTCCTGTCTATAATATCACCAGACTTATCGATAATGCACTGGCATCACCAAGGCTTAACCCATATTTACTCCCTGTATAACTCCAAGGGCCTTCGCACATTCCCTGACTTACAAGTCTCTCACAACCTACCACATAGGGATATCTTCCTCTACTTGAGAGTCAAGCATATATTGCACACTGCAAATATTAAATATCAAGACCTATCAACACTTAGCTCAATAGGCAACACTTGCTATAACATAAGCACAACTCGTAACCCACCGAAATTCCTCTCATTGTGCTACCTAGCCCAATTAAACAAGTCCAAGGAAACTAAATTACCTTATATGCTAAACTGGGAAAAAGACTTGGGTACAGAGTTTCATTTCAAGGACTGGCTATCTGCGATAGCAACTACCAAAAAATCCACCAAATGTGTTAATCTATGGGAAGCATACTTTAAGGTACTAATGAGATGGTATTTAGTGCCCGATAGGCTGAGCAAAATATACCCAACGGCTGCTCCTACATGCTGGAGGTGCAATAGTGGAAGGGGCACTATATTACACATTTTCTGGGAATGCCCACACCTGGGTACTTTTTGGACCTATGTGAAGAACGTCATACACTCTATCTCCGGGCTACAACTCCCCCTACGTCCTGACTTTTACTTGCTTCATCTATTACCGACCATGATCCAACTCCCTTCGACGGCAGCTGTACTTAATACTCTGATTGCGGCAAAATTATGCATTGCGTCTCATTGGAAGAGTGACTTTATCCCATCAGCAAAAGAACTGCTTAACAGAATAAACACTACGTACTGCTATGAAAAGGAATGGGCAATAAAAGGGAACACGACCAAATTCAACGGACAATGGGAAGGATGGGAAACCACGTACAAACACCGCATCGACTCGGAATAAATTCCGTCTCTAGGATGGAAGGCTCTCTCACACTACATTTAAGGTCGCTCGGATGTGAGGGTCTCATGTCTCATGTCCCCTGCCTCTTGTCTCTTGTCTCTTACCTTCTCTGATCTAAC